GAGGATCTTTCTTCAAATCGTTCTCTACTGTCATGAGTTTATTTGATGTTTTAACAGACATGACCCACAATCTTTGAAAAAACTTTTGTCACATCGACTGAAGCTCACTTTGAAACTTCCAACGACCACATTTCCAGTCTCAGAAAGCTTGCCAGCAACGATGAGAGAGACGTTTGAGAAGCTCAACAAGAAGTACAACAACGGACTGGTCAGTTTTCTACGGGCTTAATATTAGTGAGCAATACAGCTACACTGTAGGAGTTTTGTGTCTATTCCAATAGGATGGGGAGAGGGGGTCTGTGGTGCGATAGGACGCGCCACCTGCAGTGATTCCAATTCTTGCAAGGGAGGGAAATCTACGGGGTGTGTGAAATATAATATTTTGCTTCCGCTTTTGAATCCACCTCGTCAGAGCTGCCTTCTCCTGCGAACTTAGGATTACTGTAGGCGGCACGTATAGCTGCACCTCGTGTCCTCCCCCTTATTGGAATAGACCCAAGTTTCTTACACATTAAAATTGGTACGCAGGAGTGGAGCGAAGATATTGCCAGTGAAGCCTTACTGGAATCAAAATCACGATCCACTGAGAGCCCTTATCTGATGCTCAGAGAAAGGAAGTGAGTACTTGCCATTAGGAACTTTTTTAATGTATTTACGATTGAACTGTTCAGGATCTTCCAGAAGAGTGATCCCAGATCACTCGAAATGAAAGTGTTCATAACCCTCAGAACAGCCCTTTTCCGAGAAGGATACCAAGTGAGTTGGAGATAGTATGACCTTAATTTGCAGAAGATACACCTGTCTTTGTATGGTTGACAAAAAGCGCGTTCCAAATTCTCCAGCAAATCTGTTAAAGGCAAACCCCGGGATTAGCCCGACTTGTGGGAAGGATACCGCGAGGGAAATTGTAAGGTCCCTACCTACCCTAGATCACTCCAGCTTCGCGCAAAAATTGCGCGGTTAGGGCGCTAATCCTTACGGGCCTGCAACCATCGACCCCCGTTGCAACGCTTCCCACCCACCTCGATATCGGCGTGCTCTCTCGAACGGCGTGATCTCTCGCGTGTTTTGTCTTCTTTGACCGCCCTGCCTCGCCATCGTTCCACATCCGACCTTTTTGAAGGTTAATTTCAGCGATCCCAAAGATTTCTCTAGCTTTCCTTTCCACTTTCAGGCCGCCGCAGCTCAGTCATCATTACGAAGCGCTCTTATCACAGGTTTTATCCCGGGCTTGCCCTTGAGCGACCAGTTGAGCATAATGTAGGGGGCCCAAATAACGGTAACAAGAGCCGCCGCGTTGATGTTTGAAGTTAATCGAAATGGTTCGGACTATAAGATCTAGAGCGTGAGGAAGCCTCTCAAGTGAAGGCACATCAACTCAGAAAGGCTAAGTTTCTAGCTGCATGTTTGAGATGAACCTCCCCCAGGGAGGCCCATCGCGCGGCGAGAGGCAAAGTCAGCGGACGAGTCGCGCGCGCACTATAGGGATTTCGCGTCAAGTTAAAAGAGTGTCCCATTGCACGTCCTACATCGCACATCACGCGCTGCAACTCGTCCGCGACGACTCTGCCTTCTTGCCGCGCGACGGGCCTCCTGGGGGTACCCGATCACACCTTTCTACCTCAAACAGGTGAACTTAGTTTGGGAGCGGGGGGGGGTGCACTCCCTGCTATTCTTATCCGTGATACTAGAACAGCTCTTTGACTTTTAACCTATGGCTAAGAATAACAGGTGAAGCTGACTCCATTTCAAGTGCTCTTTGAAGATGGTTTATGCTCACAATCACGCCACATTCCTGCCACATTCTGCCTCCTCCTAAGCAATTTATGGTATGCGATAGTCACCGCCTGTGCTCTATGGCCGGCGCCTAGGAAGGATGATCCATACCCTAGTTCAGGACCGTTCCCTCGGACCACAGCCGCCGAAATCTGAAAGCACCTTAGGAGTACTTCCACACTATAGCGGTTCCTATCAGGAATAAGCCTGAATGAATCGATTACGTATCATGAAATATCTTAATCCTTACCACTGGGGGCAACTGTATGCCCCCTCCCTAAACCTGGGTTTGACCCCACACACACCACAATTGTCCCGGTGAGTGCTCTTGTCAGTGCAAACTGCTGATGTTGGGACGTGATCTTGCTCTTGTGTTTTTTCAGTCCTTCACTTATATAACTGATGGACAAATATCGTTAATCAGTTCGAAATCACTTAAAGGGCTTGCAGCATAAGAGCCACCTTTTCGATGCAAGTTCTCGTCTTTCGCCATTTTGGGTACACCCAATGACAACTTGAAATGATAACCGATGCTATCCAAAGCGGGTGCAGTGAAAAAACATTGTCAGCTAGGAGAAAAGCAGGGCGTCTGCATTAACGTCCTTTTTTAGAACTCCGACGTGTTACATCTGTCTGTCTCCCGAATGTGATCTAGCGTTATCTATTGCCTTTTAGATGCGTAAGTTATTCCTGCCTATATAAGTTTGAGGGGACTGAAAGGACACGCTGGTAGTTCCTCGGACATGAAAGGGGCAGAGGGATCGGAACTTCGGCAGCGTCAAGTAATCGACGCATTAATGGCTGTGAAGCCATGCGAACTCGTAACCATGGGCTACAGCGAGTACTTAACTGGGTCCATGAGATGGTAAGACGAACACCAGAACGACAGGTCGGTTCTATGGTCGTAAGCGTCTCAGGATGCCTCATCAAGAAATTCTTACGTGAATCGATGTGTGTGTTATCAACGCTTTTATGTGGGGGTTAGAGATACCTTCGCAGACGGCATAGCACAACACAGTAGGCCCCCGTCGCAAACCCCATCATCAAGGCGTGCTGACTGGCTGTGGTATGTATACTCGTTGAAAAGCTGTACGTTAAGGAATAAATGGTGCGAGTAAAATCTAATTGGTACAACAACTGGCAGGTAAAGCTGGGAGCGGCGGTAGGCTGTTTCCGCCGTTGGGCTGCGCCCCAAGGTGTTTAATAGTATTGATGGCACAATAACCAAGACATTTGAAGCTGTCGCAAGAGTCTCTCACGTTATCCCTTGTTGAAACCTCGACATTATCGAAGTTAGAATTGTTGTGTTCATTCTTCTGTGCCACACGAGGTTGATAGCTGGAACCTTTATTGAATGGCCCGACGTGGTCGACCTTCTTCGTCTTCTTCAGAGGCCTGAAGATAGCTCGAAGCTTTTGATTTTGTAAGCTACCCGACCAAGCACGAGCTCGAAACCAGAATGGGTACTGGCTTGGTCGGGTAGCTCAAAATCAAATAAGAATGAAAGTCGAAACGCTAAGAAGGGTGCAGATCTGGTTGGTAGTTTACAAAGTGAAAGCTTCGAGTATCTTCAGTGCCCTCTGAAGAAGACGGAAAGGTCTTCTTCAGAGGGCTGAAGAACGACGACGTTTCACAAGTCGGGCCATTCAACTAAGGTTCCACTTATCATCCTCGTTTGGCCACGAAAGAACTAAAAACTGTCGCAAGACAATTCCAACATCCTGGGGTTACCGTATCTCTTTTCTCGGCACCGTCAGAGAAATCTTGCTCATTTAGATCCGCCGTCTACCCAACGGTACACAATACGGATGCGATGGAATTTTCGACACGAAAAGAGAGCACAACAATCTATTGTCCTTAGTGTGTCTCTATGACAATCACTGTGAACTGTTTCCATGTTTGCTGTTTTATCAATAAATTGGGCAGGGAACCGAATAGCGCAATGTCATTGAAAAACAAGAAGCAACACTGATGGTTGCTTCCTTTAACCGTGAAATCCACGTTTGCTTCAGATTAAATTGAGCTCATTTCTTAGTACAACCGTGTACCCTTTTCAAAAACGAGAAGAGCGTCGGGTGCAGACCATACACCACAAGTGACGACGGCCTCCACAAAATGTAATTTTCTGCCAATGAAATGATTAGCCTGTTGCAGTTGTATTCTATCAGTTGTCACTAATTACAGCTATCATTTACAAAAATCAGCTATCACTATGAACCACTACTAAACCAGATTTACTTGGAGGCCATCGTCGCTTGTTGTGTATAGGCTCACCCGGCGTTCTTATCGTTCTTCAAAGAGGGTATCCCATCAACCGCTATGAGGCGGGAGGGAGATGGGGAGCTTTAGGGTTTTGAAAAGAAAGTATTGTTCCGATTTCTGTTTGTGTTCAGAGTGAAACGAATTAAGTCAGCATTCATGTGCGAACCTTTGGGAAACATGGGGCCGCGTAATAACTTCGTCCCCAGGGATATATCCCCTCATCGGGGGTACGGTATGCTTCCCTACTGTTGGCTTCAACCTACAGCAACACATAAAATGTAGGCTATCAGGACAACCCAGCTGGAAAGACCGAAAAAATTTAAAGGGATTTCGTGCGCTCAAAACCTTTTGGTCCCATAGAAAGAAAGAAGAAGAAGAAGGAAGCATACTTACGGCCCCGCTGAGTTCGATCCTCGGGGAAGGCAAGAAGTCATAATAGGACCGAAATATACCTCTGTGTCTCTATCTGCCAGACAATTAGAGCAGCGTGACCCCTCAGAGGAAAAAGTGCTTCAACAGTGGAAAGTAGTCGCCCTGCCCTAACTGTTTGGCAGATAGAAACACAGAGTAGCGCAGTTCTATGCAAATCTTATTGGTGAAACTCCAGTTCGGGGGCCACTCCATTTTTTCTCCAATACTCAAGATAAGGATTAGAGGGCTCACGACACGTAATCGACTCATTTAAAGTAGACTTCTGATAAATATTGGTGTAATGGGTGAAACCCTAACGGTTTTCACATTTCCGCCTGCCATGACCCAAGGGAACGGTCCTGGACCAGGAGAAAGGACACCTCCGCAAAGGGCTAAGGGTGCAGGAGCTCCAGGGTGGATCACCTGTGCAGAAAAGTGGATGGGATGTGGGCAGGTAGTGTGGAATGTAGGACATCCACCGGTCCTTATCAAAAGTACGCTCGAAATGAGTCGTTCACTTATTATCTTATCCGTAGTGTTCGATAGCCCAAAGAACTGCTCTCTAGTACTACGGATAAGATAGCAATGGAGTGGCCCCCCGAACTGGAGTTTCACCCTCTTTTTTTAACTCCCCCAAGGATTGAATCAGAGGAGAGGATGCATCCCCTGGGGGAAGGATCGAATACCGCCCATGGAGAGGCACAGCGCTACGAGGAGAGGGAAAACACGAAGGCGCAGGTCGTATGCGAGAGAGCGCAAGCGTCACGTATACTGCTATTGATAGAGTGGCAGCCAAAGCAGAGGACAAGGCGAGGTTTTAGCGCTCCTGCCGCGCAGTGTCGGTTTGATTGGGGGCATTGTCACGGCTCATAGACCTGAGGGTATCTCGGGTATCTCGCTCCCACGCTAAAAGGGACTACCTTCTGGCACCGAGATCCGCGGCTTCCAGCGCATGATGTGTTTCAGGCGAACGAGTATGGTTCGAGGGAACGAGGATATCTGGCGTCTTCAATTTTACGACCCTCCGCCCCTCCCCTACTATCACCACGACCAACTTCAGGCAGGGGGTCTTCTACAACCACCCTTAAAATTTCGCCCACTTTTCCCTTTACAAGTACCCGTGATGAGCGACGGGAGAGCAGGTTGGGTGACTATGCACCATGAAACCCCAGATCCTCTAATTTTGTCTATTTTGAAAAAAGAAAAAAGAGAAAAAAAAGAAAAACGGGACCCTCCACCCTACAGGGCTGTAAGCTATGTATGCTGGACCGGAGACTGCGGAGAAATCCGCTAAAAAGATCGCGAATAAGAAACTAGTTAATTATTGCTGATTTTGATGACTTCAACACGACACGTTGAAATTTTTTCATCCGTTGAATAAATTTTCCATTCAGCGTCACGTGTATCCATGAAAACAACAAAACAAAAGGGCAATGCTCCATGTTCACAAGGGAGTGTTTGATTTCTCCTATGAACATATTTTTCGAATTGCTCGCCTGACTGCGCTATCATGCGTACTATCGAGGAATAATGTTCGAATTCCGCACATATGGCTTCGTATAACTTTGGTTGAGCGGTGCTAAAAACTGGTAAGGCTTCTACAGCACAATTCGCTTGTCCACTGGGCCAGGGAGGCCTTACTAGCTTTAGTACCACTTAACCGAGTCGCTGGAAATGCACGTGGCGAGCAGCGACGAAATCGTTGCCGCAACCGCACTTCCATACTTATATACTGCTCCACATAATTATTTTCCACCTATGAATTTCTCAAAAACTCGCATCTAGAGCTGTCTTCGAAAAAGGCTCCACGGTAGAAATGTGATGCATGTAAGCACACTTCTGAACACAAAGTTTCTGTTTGAAAAAGCAACAGTTCTTCACCTTCAGATCTTCTGATATACTCGCTC